TTATAGCCGCTTTTCATGCTAATTTCACTATATGATCACGTGAGTTGTAAGCAACTGTTAAAAAGTATATAAGCCTCCTGATTTTGCTCTTGGGGGGGGCCCCCTTCCAAGTGCTTGGGAAATCCATGTCACTTTGGAGTCCCCCCTACAGCTGTAGTTTCTTTTGAATAAAAGCTTCTGCTGACCTGACCCAAAAGTATGCTGCGTGTGTTTCCACGACAGCTTTCACTTTCGAGTCTTGCTGCCGGCTCCTTTCCTGGAAATCATTCCCGTTCTCCACAGAGGGCGGAGGCTTTCTGTGAGAAACTAACTGCTTCGTGGTGGTTGGTGGGCTTTTCCATTCATCATCCCTGAGCTCATTAGGTGCGGCAGCAGTCTCCTAAAGCAGTGCGTTTCAGACGCTTCAGCTCTGCTCTAATTTCTTATTCAGCACCCATGTGTCTATGCAAACGTTCATTTGAAATAAAAGGCTGAGTTATTCATGCTGACAGGGGAAGCAGCAGGCAGGCTGGAAGTGAAAGCAGCAGTGCTGTATAGATAAGGACTGCGAGTCCCGGCTGGGCACACGCCAGAGGAAGGATCCACCGAGAACAGAGAAGGTATGGTGTTGAAATGCTGTTGCTTTGCTGTGGGTGGAAAAGGGTTTGGACAAAACTCTCTCTGTCCCTTTAAGGCCTTGTTTATTCTCTGCTTTTTGGTCACTACCTTTTTGACTCAGTAAACAGATGCCAGCAAGATGAACCTGGTCCTGTCACCGCAGGAAGCAATAAGCCTTTCCAGTGGAGCTGAGGTGGAGACAAGACATATTCCTGTGCAGAAATGCTCCCTGGAGAGCAGTAGCAGCGTTGGAGTGTTGTTGTAGTGGTGGTGATAATGCCAGTAGGAATAGGGCAGAATCGGGGTTTATTGGGCAGTATTTTTAATGTTGGCTGAATTGTAGGGTTGGGGGAAAAATGTTAGACAAGCTTCTGAGCAAAGAGTGCCATCCCTTGGGTCTGGCTCAGGCATCCTTAGGACGTGTCCTGTCCCACAGAACCGGTGCCTTGTAAAGACAGCTTCACTGCTGGTGGCGTTTGCTTGAGCCAGACTCTGACATTTGTTCTTCTGTCCTTCCAATGGAAATAGGGGATTTGTTAAAGGCCTCGCTGATAGTAATGAGCCAAACCCTCCAGGTGTTTCCAATAACTCATCCAAGTTTCACACCCGTACAACAGGGCAAGGCTGACAGCAACCTGGTCGATGAGAGTTTTGGTTTGGGGACTGATGTAATGAATATTGAAGATACCATTTCAGAGACGTCCAAGGGCAGCACTGGTAGATTTATCCGGTGTTCAATGTCATGTTTACTTGGGAAAGGTGGTTATCCAGGCAGGGGGGACTGCTCAACTTTTTCCAAGGAACACCACGAGGAAAGGATCTGTGAGAAATAACTGAGGCCAGGAAGGATGGGGAACAGAGAGTGTGTGTGGGTTCATGAGGTGGCTGCGGGGCCAGAAAGGAGAGGGCCCTTGGTTCTTGCTTGGACCCTTGTTCCCAGTGAGGCAAAAGCTCCCTTTCTGCAGTTTCCTCCATCGTTTGTTTGTTTTTTTCCCCCAATGACCATATTGGTGGTTCAGCTTGAAAAGGAGCACTGGGGGACGAGCTAGCTCATGGGTCACCTGTGGTGTGGCAGGTAGGGTACTGTGCTGAACACAACACAATACTTAGGTCAGCACACGTCTGGGGGAGGAGGCCTTACACCCGTGGAAAACATGTTAAAGCAACATAAAACAGGCCAAAAAAGAATTAGAGGTGCATGTAGCAAAAGGTGCTAACAGTTAATAATAACAAATATTAAAAAATACACCAGAGGCAGGAAGCCAGCTAGAGCAGGGGTGGGCAAAATACGGCCTGTGGGCCACACCTGGTCTGCCAGGACATTCTATGTGGTCTGTGGGGCCCCTAAGATTTTATAAAATTAATATTTATCTGCCCCTGGCTGCCTGTCAAAGATGACAGGAGCCAGGGGCAGTAGGACCCAGAGGGAGGCAGTGGCAGATCTAAGCCCCAGCTTCAAGTCTGGCCCACCCAACCCCTTCCAGTATCTCTGACCAGCACCGTAATCACCGCACAGCAGGTCAACAGTTACCCAGGCCCCTTTTCCAGCACTCTTCTTGCAGCTGGTCCCCTGACCAGCCATGTGGAAAAGATCTGTGAGAAATAACTGAGGCCAAGAAGAATGGTGCAAGCGAGAGGTTATGTGACTTCATGAGTTGGCTGCGGGCCCAGAAAGGAGGGGGCCCTTGGTCCACCAGCACCGTAATCACCGCACAGCAGGTCAACAGTTACCCAGGCCCCTTTTCCAGCACTCTTCTTGCAGCTGGTCCCCTGACCAGCCATGTGGAAAAGATCTGTGAGAAATAACTGAGGCCAAGAAGAATGGTGCAAGCGAGAGGTTATGTGACTTCATGAGTTGGCTGCGGGCCCAGAAAGGAGGGGGCCCTTGGTCCTCGCTTGGACCCTTGTTCCCAGTGAGGCAAAAGCTCCCTTTCTGCAGTTTCCTTCATCGTTTGGTTTTTTTTCCCCCCAACGACCATATTGGTGGTTCAGCTTGAAAAGGAGCACTGGAGGACGAGCTAGCTCATGGGTCACCTGTCGTATGGCAGGTAGGGTACTGTGCTGAACAAAACAGATTACTTAGTTCAGTCCACGTCTTGGGGAGGAGGTCTTACACCCATGGAAAAAGTGATAAAGCAAAATAAAGCCGGGCAAAAAAGAATTAGAGGTGCATGTAGCAAAAGGTGCTAACAGTTAATAATAACAAATATTAAAAAATACACCAGAGGCAGGAAGCCAGCTAGAGCAGGGGTGGGCAAAATACGGCCTGTGGGCCACACCTGGTCTGCCAGGACATTCTATGTGGTCTGTGGGGCCCCTAAGATTTTATAAAATTAATATTTATCTGCCCCTGGCTGCCTGTCAAAGATGACAGGAGCCAGGGGCAGTAGGACCCAGAGGAAGCCAGGGGAAGAATTAAGCCCCTGCTTCAAGTCTGTTCCAGCCACTCCCTTCCCCCCGCCCCCCACACCCCAGCAGGAAGCCTCTGCCTAGAGGGGCTTGTGGAGGCTTCTGGCCTGGGGCTGTTCCTCTGTCACAGCACTGGAGGGAAATACAGATAAGAAAGTGAAGGGAGGGAGGAAGCGGGGACCATGGGCAATTGCCCCATTCCTCAGGTCTGGGCTGGGCCGGGCTGGCTCCTGCAGTCCTGGCGATGCAGCTAGGAAGCAGGTGGTGCCCAAGCACAGTGGGCAGGGTGAGTGGGAAAATGGCTGCTGTACGTGGGGAAATGGGCAGCAAGTGGGTGCGTGGAGTGCAGTGACAGCCATGTGGGAGTGCAGGGCTTGCTCCGGTGCCCTGGGCCACCACCAGCGGGGCCCAGAGCAGGGCAGCACGAGCGTGGGATCTGGACTGGCCAGGGCTGTGTGTAGCTGGGCTGTGCTGTGCCAGGAGGGAGACGGAGAAGCCAGCCTGGCTCCATAGAGTCTCTGCTGGCCCGGACACCATGCTTCTGCCACCCAGCTCTGGGCCCTGCAGGTGCCGGCCCTGGTGCACCAGCATGGGCCCCGTGCTCCTTACCAGCTGTTACTGTGCTCCATGCACCCACTCGCTGCCCCTTCTGCCCGCCTGTCGCAGCCATTTCCCCACTCCCCTGCCGACCTGCCATTGGCAGTCCAGCCCCACCTGGTTCCCAGCTGCATCGCCAGGACTGCAGGAGCAGCTGGGACGTGGTGCCAGAGCAGCGAGTAGGGGTGGGGGTGGGGGGTGCAAAAGTGGCAGGAGGAGGACAGCGGTTGCAGACAGGGGGAAGTGGCAGTGAGTGGGAGCACAGGGCCCGCACCGGTGTCCTGGGGCCAGGAGTAGTAGAAGCGCAGAGCCCGG